AGACCCCCCCTGATGCCACCCTGCCCAGGGATCCCCTGATCCGCTCCCCCCGCGATCCCGTCCCTCGCCAAGCCTGCCCACCCCGAGAGCCAGGGCTGCGGGCAGGGGGAACGGGCAGTGCCCAGTGGCTTCACCCCCTGTCCTGAGGCGATGCATCCCTAAGGTCCCAGCACCACCTTGCGGCCACCCCCGGGCCAGGCCATGCCCCCAGCTGGGTCCCCCCCTGCTGAGCCCCCCATTTGCCCCCACAGGCCCGCGACTGCAAGGTGCTGGGGGACCTGGAGGGTGCCCGGCGGCATGGTGCCCGTGCCAAGGTGTTGAACATCATCTGCTCCGTGCTGCTGGTCCTCATTGTGGTGGCCATCATCGTCGTCATCATCATCGTGATATCCACCACCACCACCTGACTGCCGCATGGCCACCGACCTGCTTGCTGCCAGCCCGGGGGGTGCTTCTCCTCTCCCCTCCTCTTCCTCCCAAAATGTCCCCGTGTCCCTGCTTTGGGCGTCTGGCGCGCTGAGAAAGAGAGTGACACCCTGTCCCCTCGCTGCCTGCACCCCTGGGTGTCCCCAGCACAGCCACCGCATGGAAGGGGATGGGTGGGCCAGGCTGGGATGCGGGGGACAGCCCCCCTTTCTTCTTCGTTTCTGTGCCTCAGCAGGGATCTGCTGGGCTTCCCGGTGTTTAACCGAGCTGTGACGCCTGTATAGGTTGCTGTTGCCACAAATAAAGCTCGCCCTGCCAAACCCCCTCGCCTGTCACCTTATTCACAGCGGGGAAGGAGAAGAGGGTCCTTGTGCATCTTCAGGACAGCCTCCTCCTCCCGCTGCTGGCTCCGTGGCTCTCTGCCTCCATCCCCGCCATGGTGCAGAGCACTTCCAGCCCAGATCCTAGATAAGTTTCTTCCTAAAAATTTAGGCATGGCAGAAGAAGGAAAGAAAAAAAGAGAATCTCTGTGTTTTTCTGGCTGTACACACCCCATCCCACTGCACAGCCCCATCTCCTCCCAATTCCAGGGAACCCCGTAGAAGTAGCTCTTCCACATTTTGGCATTAAGTTCCCATTTAATGCATCCAGTGGCCCAAACGCGCTGCGAACGAGGGGCCTTTGTGAGAGACTGAAAGAGTTAATGTCTCAAACGTGGTAAAACAAATCACGGTCTGCATAGCAGCGATAAACCTTAAGCGAGAGGTCAGATAACTCAGGACACGGAGGATGTGCCGGAGGGTGCGCAGTCCCATGTCCTGATAGGCCCGGCATGACAACGCACCATACGTGGCCCGAGGTCATACAGAGTTTATTTGAGGAAGGGGCTCACGACCACCACCCCCAATGGCACCTGCACAAAGGATCAGGAGGTACATAACTCCCCGAGAGGCAGGGACTAGATTATAAAAAGGCACAACTCCAAGGAGCCGTGGGTGCACCCATCACCGGAGGATTGCCACGTCCGTCATCATCATCACGGGATCCCCCATCACCGGGATTGCCACGTCCGTCATCATCATCACGGGATCCAGGGGTGGTGGTATCTCTCTCTCCCTCTCTTTCCTTTTCTTCTTATAAATGCCTCAATAGAATTCACGCTGCCTATTATTACACTTTCCAAGTTTAAGTTGCATGTTCCATAAATAAAGCATTTAATTGATCGCCTGGTGTCGTTTCACCTTAATTTAGCCCAAGGGAATCACGAAACCGCTACGACCCCCTGAGTCACCCAGTCTGGGTCGTAACAGCCTTCCCAGCCAAGACCACCTGGAGGGATTGGGCTGAAGGTATTGGTGCGAGCTGGCGCAGCGAGAGATCCTGGCACCGAGGGTCTGTCTCGTATCAGCCCCTCAGGGTGATGGTCACTTGGTTTCAAAGTCATCCCGTGGCTCCATCCCAACAGCCCTCCCCGAGCGCTCGGCGTCTCCCTCCATCGTGCTGGAGCCGTCTGTGCTCCTCATCGCAGGAGGTATGCTGGATATAAAAAGCCCGTAGGCTCGCAAAACCAAGTTTGTTTCTCCTAGCTCCCAGCCAAGCATGTCTGATAACCACAGCCCGGGAAGGGCTGTAATTTCTCGGGTTTATATATAGAAGAGTTGAGGTCGTGCCGTAGACAAGGACTATATAAAGGGGCCACCCTGCCCTGCTCCCCCAGCCAGGCTGGTGGAGCAGAAGAGCCGCGGGGTGCCCCTCGCTGTGGCCATGGACACCTCCTACCCACGGGAGGATTAACTTCCTGCACCATCCCACAAGCGGGAGCCGTCTCCCACCGTCCTTGCCGTTGGCGCCTCCCCAACGCCCCGCGACCACCTCGTCTGGTCCATCTTCAACACCATCTACATGAACCTCTGCTGTCTCGGCTTCGTGGCGCTCGCCTTCTCCGTCAAGGTACAGGCACCGAGCAGGGATGGGAGACTGAACATTTGGGGTCACCTGGGAGCCCTCCCTGTGCTGATGCCAAGGGATGGACTTCCCGAGGAGACATGGACCGTCTGAAATTACCTGGGAGGGCTGGGGTGGGGGACAAGAGCCCAACACCCTCAAGAGGCTGGTTGCAGGTGACACCATTGCCCAGTAAAGCCCCCACACTTTTCCTGCCACCTATTAACTAGGCTGTGAGACCCCCTAGATAACCACAGCCCCCCACCACCGCCAGAGGACCAACTGCTTCTTCCTAGAAGGTGCTGAGGGGCCATGACGCCCCCGGCCCCTCCACCTGCCCTCTGGCAGGAGCAGCTCCAGCTGGACTGGACCAGGGTGGGGAGATGGGGGAAAG